TACACTGATATCAACTGGAGAGGTCGAAGGTGTTCGGAATTAATGGAGTTCCAAACGGAGGGAATGATCAAGCTCTAGACTTCTTTGTTATATGGTAGTTATTAGTACGATGTTTTAGCAACGCGAATCTGAGGAGGTATTTTCGTGGGTTAACTATGACAAGCGTTAGAGTTAAGTGAGTTGTGGTTGTTTGTGTCCTTAATCAGCACTAATTAGTGGAATTCCTCCTAGATTGGTATTTCTCATATGTAAATTTGTTGATAATCGAACCGGGTCAACAAACACCTTGTCTCATTGTTGTTTTATGTTCTGCATTGTCTCGTTGTTAAAACGTTGTTATAACTGTAAATCGTCGACGCTTAGGGAGTTGACCTTTAAAGTGTTCGAATGTGTTTTGTTCGATAAATCACTTTCCCAACACCTTTTTTTTTCTATTTTAGTTCTAATGATTTCATTTTTCAAACCATTGACTTCAATTTCAAATTTTATCATTTTAAAAAATATAAATAATTCACAACCCAACTTATGACTACAACAAAAAGAAAATTGATATACAACATTATCCATTATTTATTAAAAAATAAAGCGCCCCAGTATCGTATTCAATAGTTATAAATCTCGTCCATTCATTTGATTTTTAAAAAGTTAAATTAAATAAAAATAAAATAAGGTAGCAATTGGTTTGAACTGAAAAACCGCATAGTCAAGTTGAAAATGTAACAATATATGGGTTATTTGGTCATTTCTTTACTATCTTTTTTATAAAATATTATATCAAAATTACTATTTAAAAAAAAAAAAAAAAAAAAAAAAAACAACCCAAAAGCCAAAAATAAAAAATACACTAGGTTCAAAGGTTTAGAACCACAGTTGTGGTTTTTCTTGTTTATCATATTTTTTATTTATCATAAGAGAAAACTATTGGTTGGTTATTATAAGATAAAAGAAATAATATCTTCCCACTATATATTTATTTATTTGAAACTATTTCGTGTTTGACATATTATAAACTGTAAAATAATTGATATGCAAGAATAATTTTCACTTGGCAAGTTCTATTTGTGAAAATTGCAATAATAGAGTCCGCATGGCTCCGTTCACGTAGCATTTTTAAATTAATTGATTTTTTGTTTGTAATACGAGAAACTGTGTCAAAAAGGTATAAAACATATTATTTCAAATTGAATATTTGACTTTTTAACTTTTAGTAATGAGTATTTGAAGTTTATTTTGACTTTTTTACTTTTGAAAAAAAAAATTGTATTATTTATTATTATTTTGGAGATTCGCAATTAAAAACTTTATTGAGAGAAAAAAGCCATAATTAATTATCACATGTAATTTTGGACAATAATAATTTGATTGTATTAATGGCTAAATATTCACTTCCTTTCTTATTATATATAGTAGTTGTCACATGAGATTTAAGGATGATATAAGAAAAATATGTCTATATTAGTTATTGAATTGAAATATGTCCATGTAAAATAAATATATACGTGTGATAATAGAAAATCGGTAGGGATCATGTGTTGAATAAAATGTAACAAGAATAATAAAACATTCTGATCCTAAGCCATAAAAAAAAATATACATTACATAAATTAATTACATATATATATATATAAGTCTATAAATTTTAAAACTTTCTAAACTATATATAATTAATGGCATGGGATCTGGTAACGTATATTAATTTAAGGGTATAAAATTAATCTAATTATTACTAATTTAAATCAATGGAGATAGACAAAATTTATTGATTTTTATTCCAACCTCAATCAATCGTTTAAAAAGCAAATGAGACCTCAAAAAAATGAAGTTCCAAGTATTCATTTCCTTCGCCAATACCAAATGACGAAGTCGAACTATTTTTATAATTTTTCAAGATTTGAATAATAGTCAAAACTATTAGAATATCACCAATCACAAACATCCAAACCTAGTCTAAATGTCTGCCAACAAAATGCTATGTATTGCATTTGTATACAACAACAATAAAAATTTAGTTTGAAAGTATTGAGTTGTTTTAACACTACAAGAAAAAATTATTTTTGTAACAAAATTTTTTTGTCTCTAAATCTACTTTTTCCGTTACTAATGACATTAGAGACGGAATTAGTAATGAAATTACGTTAGCTACGTGAACTTTAGGGACGGAATTCCGTTACAAATATATTATTTTTTTTGTAGTGTAAAGATGTGCGACCGACGTTCTATAGCACCGTCAATGTTGACGTTAGTTATAAGACCCCATGAATAATCTAACTATGAATATATAATTGTCACTACATATACATGGACTTTGTGTGTCTTTGGTTGATTTTATTATTATTAATTTTTAAATTTGGTGTTTTATTTTTTATTTGTTTTTGTATTATGGAATATAAATAATTAGTATTGATAATGAATATTGAATATAAAGAATATTAAAGATTAAAGAGTAAAAAATAAATAATTAATTGATTAATATGGATAGAACATTGATTAATGTATAACGTTGAAGTATACATAGGAGGTACTTGGTTAGTGTTTTAGTTTTAGAGATTCTCTTTTTAAGGTATAGGAAATTGTATTTTTAATATATATATATATTACTCCGTAAATATCTATTTACTTTTTACACGTAGTTTTAGAAATATTAGTATTATATTGGGATATAGTAAGAATAAAGTAAAAATGACTAAAATAACCTTATTAGTATATGTGATATAAAAGTAATGACGTTCATGTAATATATTTTAAGTTGTAGGGTATTTGTAATATTAGGTAGATAGTACAGTTACTAAAAAAGAAAATGGATACTTTGTTATGGAACGGACTAAAATGGAAAAATAGATACTTTGTTATAGGACGGAGGGAGAGGGAGTATTTTATATTGAAACTTGATCTTTTTATTAAAATATACATTATATATAGGGTAAATTAATTTTTTGTCCCGTAACTAAAGGTCGTCTTAAAATAGTCCTGTAAGTGAAAATTTTTCGCAATTTAATCTTCAATGTCTATGTGACACCTGAATGGCATGCCGACGGACACATGTCGGCCAACTCAGCGTCATGTGGCTGACATGTACCCGCCACATGAATTATTTTTATTTTTATTTTTTTTAAATATAAAATGACAAATATAAAATAAAATATTAAAATAAAAATAAATAATAAATAATTAGTAAAACAAAAAATAAAAATTATCCATATATCCGTCAAGTCAGCAACACACGTACTTCACCTTTAATAATTTATATATTAGTATATTTTTTAATTATATTTTTTACATATATATATTTTTTAACATAAACAATATAAATTATCCATTAGCGGCTAAGCTATGTGGCGCTAACTTGACGGATATGTGGATAATTTTAATTTTTTAAATTTGTAATTTTATTTTTTTATATATTTAATTTTATGTTTTATTTATTTTTTATTAAAAAATAAAAATTATCTACTTGGAGGACACGTGTCAGCCAAGTGGCGCTTATTTGGCTGACACGTGTCCACCCGCCTGCCACACAGATACCACGTAGACATTGATGACTAAATTAAAAAAAAAATTCTACTTACAAGACTATTTTAAAACGACCTCCGATTACAGAACTAAAATGATAAAAGAGTTCAATTATATTTAAAAAAATATTCACGTGAGTGACTATTTTAAGTAAAAAAATCATTACTCGTTTTTACTTTTTTTTACTATAAAAAATAGCAATTATTACTCACTTTTATTAAAATTCAAGGCCCGATCAAATGAATACACACTTGCATAACACAGGGAGTACTATTTATCAATAATATTTATTTTAAAAAAATTCCCATCAAATCCTTGCATAAGATATATTATCAAATATTGACTATTTTACTTTTGATATAAAAATTGTCTTATTTATATCAATATGTCTGAAAAGCCTACATATCACTTATGGACACAAATATAATATACTGTTACTACGTGTATCAATTATGGATGCATTTATGAATTTATGTAGGCAAATACGTCGTATTAAATTTGGATTCGAATTACTACATGAAAAATTCTATGCCTATAAATACTATACGAAAGAATGAAAGAAAAATGGCATACATCAATTCACTCTTTTTCCCTTGTCAACATACAACATCATTATTACTCATTATACATAATATACATATATACAAACGTACACACATAACATACCTATATATATATATATATACATATATTATTACTCCCGTCGTCCCACGTAATGTCTCTATTTTCTATTTTCATCCGTCTCACGTAACTTGTCATTTCTATTTTTTGAAATATAATTATACACTTTAATCATATTTTAAATTTTATAATTTTTTAAATTTTAATTAAACTATTTAGTTATATTTATAATTATTTTTACTAAATAATAATTATTTTTACTAATACACTTTTAACTGCCTACTAAGTCTAGTATCTCCAAAATATCTTAGACGGAGGGAGTATTATATATGCAAGCTATACATAATATATATATATCTACTTTAGGTTATTGTATATAATATAATACAAAATAAATTAGCAGTAAAAATAATTAATATTTATATCGAGTAATCCTATAATAATATCGCAATATCGCAATGCAATAACTATTATATGCAAATTTGGTTGTGTTTTAAGTTCAATTTTTAAATTAAAATTAATATCAAAATACAAATATAAATATAAATATCAATATATTAAATTTTATATTTTCTAATTTTAGTTTGTTTTATATACTCTATAATATTTTTAAAATTGAAAAAAGTTAACTATACCTTACCTATTACCCCTTGCAATGCAAGTATCTCCTGTAGTGAATATAGAAACAACATACTTTTATTTTTTTTATAGCCTTCAGCTACTACTAGTTACGCTTTTGGTAAACAGCCGAACTAAACCTAATAATCTGCAAATTAGGTCTGACAAAGTAAATCACACTAGGCGAACTATATATGACAAACAAGACCCCGAGACATCGGAGTCTGTTTGAACCTATGACCTCACTGTCCTTAGGGGACAAACAACACATTTTTTTATTATACACATATGCGTCAACAATTAATTTTAAATTGAGCAATGTTGTACATATGTATATATATATATATGTATGTTCCAAAACAAGAAGAAAAAATCACTATTTCAAGTATGGTTATTGCAAAGACTTACGCGTTACTTACGCCGGTCGATCTCATCCCATCCCATCCCAGCAAAGCACGAAAAACTCCTCTAAGAATCAAGACAGGATCTTCCCTAACTTCCACTTTCGAACATCGCCAAGCAATGTGCTCGTCGGGCCTAACTAAAATAGCACCTCTATCACTCATCCCACACAGATCCCACCATGAAGGCGATGAATCCGAGCGCTTCCTCACTTGGATGACATCGACAACATTAGTCCATGGCAAGACTGCATTTTCGCTGCTGTGAATTCCACCACTTGTTTGTTCTTGCCACATTACACATACTTTCAGTGATACTTTATAATCCTCGGCCACCTTAAATGCAGCTCGAGCCAACTCATATGACTCTTTGATAGGCGGTATCATGAGAAGGTACTCGATTTTATTACTAGAAACAAGGTCTAATGTAGACATGGCGGCACCCTGTGAAAGGAAAAAAAAAAAAGGACAAATCTAAGATATTACAACATATAAAATTAGCAAAATTGTTTATAACCTGCATGTAATTTGAAAAGTCTGCACCATACTCCTTCGTGATTTATAGTGATTTATAAAATGTATGAGATTCTCTCGTGTTTCTAAGAAAAGCTGCATACAATCCCCTAAACTTGCGCAAGGGTCCTCATATTTTTGAAAGAAAATGCATAGAGTCCCCTAAACTTGTGCAAGGGTCCTCATATTTTCGAAAAAAAATGCATAGAATCCCCTAAAAATGAAATCCACAATCTTTAGCCTCGTGCAGTTTTTAAATAATGAAAAAATAGTGCAAACTTTCCAAAATACAGATCCGTTATATGCAAATTCGCCTGTAAAATTTACAAGTTGAGGGGTGACTTGACTGTCTGTGTGTGTGTGAGAGAGAGAGTATGTGTCATGAGTTAGCGCACCTCACTTGGAAATTTCGAAAAAAGTTGAATTTCCATATGAGGCAATCTTGATCCCGGAACCGAGGAGGGAACATACTCCCTCCTACGCCCAGTTGGGAATTCTTGTGCACCCAATGAACTATTATTGTCCGGTACCAATGCTCCTTTAGAATACCTACCATAATGTCATGTTTTGGGTCACATAATTAAGGTGAAAGTTTAGAATATATAAAAATCTCATGATGCATGTCGGACTGGGTAAAAATTTAACAATCAAAGTAGAATTAGAGTTTTTAATGATAAGATGCAACGACAGAAATGAAAGTCGGATGGCACCTGAAACCAAGATCTTCGGCAGGAAACTGGAGTTGGAGGCTTTTTCCTTCTTCAAATATACGTCTAAGTTTAGAAAGCCTTGAAAACCCGAGAGGATTATTCTCATTCAAAAGAGAATTGGAAAGCTGCAAACGCCCTATGCTGAAAATTCCGTCTAAAATAGTCTTTTGCACGCCGGAAGGTAGGATGGAGCCAAGAGTACCATTCAAAGAGCGATGAACTACAAATAAAAAAAAATATGCTCAATGAATATACCCGATGAACCAATAAAAATTCACACTTCTAGTTCATGGATTTACCTGAGTTAGCAATACTTGGATCAAGACCTAGAGCTGCTGGGACAGCTATTGCTGCTTTAAAATTTTTTACACTTAGGGTTGTATTATAAACTGCAATCTGACAAGAATCAGGAATTCAAAATTAGATGTATATTATGCTTTTCAAAGTTTAATATTGCTGTACTTGCACAAACTATACCTCCTTACGCTCAGTCTCGTATGTAGAAAGCACTGTCGGTGGTGAGATTCCCTTTATTACAGAGGCCAGCTTCCAGGCAAGATTATGAGCATCCTGGATGCCGGTGTTCATTCCTGTCGAATGTAAAAGGGCACGGGTATTTATAAATTCAGATAATTTTTTGAAGAGGAGGACAATTTCACGGTAAATCCATACCGAAGCCACCAGCAGGAGGGAAGCGATGAGCAGCATCCCCGGCAAGTATTACTCGGTTATTACCACCTAAGAAAGTATCAGCAACTTCTGCATTCATCACCCAAGGCTTTACATCCAAGACATTTAGGTCTGCAAGCTCTCGGCCAACCAGATTGAGGATTAATTTCTCACACATCTACATGAAATAAAATTCTTTCATCGACGGATTAATTAAGAGATCATAATAATTTCCAAAACAGGTACAGTGTGAGTAATTGAACAATTCCGAAATACACAACATGTTTCAATTAAGTGAAGATATAGAAAATTACCCCGAAGCTAAAATCTTCAAACTTCTGCTGAGGAGGATAAAAAGGTACCTGAGCAATACAACTGGTGCTAAGGATTCAAAAGTTTGTGGCGAAAATGTAGTATGAGATAATTCACAAGCCTCGAAGGCACAAAACTCATCGTACTTGCAACACAAATTCTCCTTGCTCCAAATCATGAGCAACAATGACACCTATGGCTTCTGTATTAAAGATAAAATACAGCATTCCCGGCCTCTCATTTATCAAGTACTGTCCAAGATCGAGACTTGTAAAGTGTACACTGATAAGCCTTTGCAAGTCTTGCTCGCCTCTCATCTGTATTCCCATCAATTTTCTAACCACACTTCCTGCACCATCTGCGCCAACAACGAAATTACATGGAAAATCTTTGGTTATGTGCTTTCCCTCCCTTGCTAGATGTCCAGTCACTGTTACACCACCATCAGAAATGTCGATAGATGTGCATTCACAGCCCATTACTATTTGTTTTTCGGCAAGTTCAAATTCACTGGTATTCATTGTCTTGTCCGTAACTTGAAACCCAATGTCCTCAAGGTGTTTAATTAGCAACCTCATAAGTTTATACTGTGAATAATGGGCAACCGATACTGGGCTCACAACTTTGTCAAAATCTGCAAATGAACGAAATTTGCAGCAGCAAAAAACCTTGTAAATGATACAAACAAATAAGCACACAGTTCATTTATCTTCATTATCAACCCCAGAAGAAGCATAATAAAGGGGACAAAAAAGAACAAAGAAATAAATTACAATGTCAAATCAAGAATAATACAATGTAGGAACATAATAATGTAATTTCTGTCCTCAACTCATCCCTTGAGTCGTCTAAAAGCAATTCTTATTTACCAACATAAATGATGAATGGAGAATCAGTTTCTTCGACAATACCAACAAGTTCTTCATATAATCATAAATCTTTAAAACTGCAATTCCGTATACCTTGTGATTGCATATGATCAACAGAACCAAGTATTGGACCCGTGAGCGAGGAGCAGTATATAAACTTCCTCCACCAATCGACGGGTGGTTGATGCCTTAAAATCTCATCCGCCAAGCCATTTAATTTCCTAAATATCTGTCAAATCAATAGTTAATCAAAACAAAGCTGTTCATTAACTAACAAGCTCAATATATAACCAAAAGAAACAGCATACTTGCACCAATAACTCAAGCTAACAAAACAAATGAAATTGCTCTAACCTCCATTGATCGATTGTTAATGAAGTGAGCTTGAGGATGTTGTGAAAAGGCTTTTCTTTTCTCAACAATTGTGCATTTTACCCCTGCTCATAAATTAGTAAAAAATAGCAACATTACAGTTCCTTCTATGAAAAAATGCTTAGAGAAAGTTGCATAGTAATTCATTCACACATATTTCAGAATAGCCTTGGTAGAATTAGAATTGGTTCTCAATCAAAAAACACGATTCGGAAGGAACTGGAGAGCTTTACCTAAATTGTTGAGAAAATAAGAGAGGGCGAGGCCAACAGGACCTGCGCCAACAATTAAAACTGGTACTGTTGAATCGCTAGTGTTAATTCGACCACCTCCGCCTCCGCCAGATAATATCCTTCTCTGGACATACAAAGTGCATTTCAGGGCGTCGATTTTTGGTCCATGGAATCTGCTCACGGGCCTTAGAAATGCCATTGCGGCCATACGAGGCCTACCTGCAGCGAATCAATCTCTGTAGCCTGCCGGAATTGTTGGCGCTAAGCCGTTCTGTTTAGACCTCGAAAAGGCAGCCACCCACAGTTCACTGTTGGAACCAAAAGGCAAAGACAGGGAAGGAAATACGAAGAGGAAGAGGAAGACGACCGACGGGGCAGATACAGATACAGATACAGGTAGAGGAAGACGGAAGATTGCGGCGGTGTGTGATATAGCAGAGGATTTTTATTTTGATTTTTAAATTAAATAACAATTTAAATGCAATATTGTATGAATTTGAAATTATATGCGTGTGTTGCTTTCCACCGTCATTTTATTATTTGAATTTTTGTTTTTCAAAAATAAATATACTCTATCTTTTTGTTTTTTTTAAGAACAAAAATGGCAAATAAGACTATTGTATTAGAAAAGATTAATATTATTATAGGACGGATCAAAGGAAAAAAATTAATAATTTTTATTAAGTGACAGAGTGACTGTATATTTTCTTCTTTCATAAAATATTTTATCAAATACTCCTTCCGTCCACAAATGTCTTACTTTTTTATCTGGTACGAATCGAACAACTATTGTCCTATTTTATTTTTTAAACATAAATTTTATATTTTTACCTCCAATTCATTTATTACTTTTAATATGTACTATACAATTAAGGGCAAATTTGTCAATTTATAACAAAAAAAAATAATCACCGACAATAAAAATTGGACGGAAGAAGTATTATTTTAATATTAAATTTAAATTTAAATTAAATTTTAAAAAAAAAACACTATACATTTAAATGAAATAGTAAAAAATAGTAGTTTATATAAATATATTATAAAAAAATAATATTTTTTAATTGAATTTAACTTTTTGTAATACAATACTCTCCGTTTCCATTTTAAATAAAAAAAATTTGCTTTTTTGTCTTATAATAATTAAAAATGTTTTATTTCGAATAAAATTTACTAAATTAAAATATATTGAACACATATAAATTACTCCTTCCATCTCATGTAATATGGGTGTATTACCGTAAATACGAGAATTTAGATAAAGTATAATTAGTAAGTAATTAAGAAATGTATTAATAAAAATAATTATTATTTAGTAAAAATAATTATAGATAAGATTAAAATAATTAAATAATTTAATTAAGATTAAAAAATTAAATTTTAAATTTTAAAATATGATTAAAGTATATAATTAATTTTTCAAAAAAAAAATGATAAATTATATGGGACTAATGAAAATAAAAAATAAGAACAAATTATGTGAAAAGGAGGAAAGTAGTAATATAATTAATCATCTCCAACCCATCTTTAAAAATAGCTATTTTGCATAATGAGTTACTCAAATATAAAAGAGCCAAGGAAAATTCCTCTCATGTGAGATAACACAAGTTTTATATATTTATTTTATTTTATTTTAAATTAAAAGGTAATTAAATTTTATTTAAAAATATGATTTTGCTTATTTATTTTATTTTATTAATTGTAAATTATGTATTATATTTATATTTTAATTTTATAATTAATATTAATTTTTATATTATACTTCTTTTATCTCATAACAACTGATATTTTTTTTTTTTTCATTTTAATTGGTTCCAACACTTTTCTATTTTAAATAAAATCTACTAAATTAAAATATTTTTAACAAATATAAAAAAATTAATTAACTACATACATTATGTAAAACCTACTATTAAAAACCTCTTTATTTATATATCTCCTTAAAAATAAATAATTTTATTTATATTTAAAATTTCATTTCTTTTATAAAACTAGTTTATATTAATTATAAAAAAAAAAAATATTTATTTATTTATTTATTTGTATAATATAAACTTTTATTCTCTACTAAAAATATTCATATTGCAGATATAACTTTTTAAAATATTTAAATATATATTCTAATTTTTAACGGTTAATTCCCTTAAAATTCCTATCGCTCAATATTTTTTCTTATTTTAGTCCTCAATTCTAATTTTGTTCCACACAACTCCCTACGTATCCTTAATTACTCTCTATTTATAATTTTAATCTGTAAAATTACTTTTATATGCCTTTTATATTTTATTTATTTATTTATATTATCTTACCTTAGATAAATTCCAAATCAATTTAGGATCAATCCCAACTGCACTCAAACCTTTCCACCAACCCATTCGCGCGACGGCGACTAACAACCGAGAAATCGACTTCTCACTTCTCTCTGACGGCGAAGACGATCACGTCGAATGAAAATTAAAAGTGCAGTTTGAACTTCATCTCCATTTATTTATATTCTTCACGATGGATGACGAATCTCCCCTCAACCAACTCGGGCACCAACACCAATCCAAACGATCGCGATCGTGCACAAATATCACACGCAAAAGTCGAGTCCATACTCAAGTGACTTCTAATATTGATTTAGGTTCAACATCGAGGTAAAAATTTTGATTTTCTTTTGACAGTATCAATCGAATTTAATTTATTTATTTTTTCTATGTAAGGTGAGAAATATATGTGACCAATTTTAAAGATTCATTATATATTTTTGCTAATAAAATATAATTTATCTTTTTCAAAAATTATTTTTGCTTAATATCTATACGATGGCATTACAATTCATATTACTTACTCTATGTTCGAAAGTAAACTAAATTGCAGGTTTAATTAAAAATTAATTTTAATTGCTTTTATTTAGGCTTAATGTTAGTATGTTCTGTAGTTATTTCTAGAAAAAATATATGTAATTAGAGGACATAGCGTGATTTATTTCCGAGTTATTAATAAATTGTATATTTTTATCCCGTGTTGGTTGACTAGAGTTAATTTAATTTTTTTAACTAAATTCTTATTTTGATTTGATTTTCAAATTAAAGTTTTTGAATAAATTGGAATCCTTTTAAAATTTTAGAGGTTTCTTCTATACAAATTTTATTACATTTTATTTCTTTTTATTCACTTTTACTTTTTGATGTTATTTTTGTTATTTTGATGTAATACAATTTTATGTTGTAGAAAATATATTAAGATTCTTATTTCTAACATTTGTTATTGATATATATGTTTAATTTTAATTAACAGAGATAGCATTTTTTGGTATTCTACTATTTTCTTTTGAAAAGAAATGAGTTCTTTGAAAAAGATTATGAAAGAAGTGCATTTTGCTACTATTGGCCAAACCCCATTTAAGCATTTTTTTGGACATGCCAAAAGGCATTATCCCGTGGGATCATGTTGAGGTGTTAATGGCTCAATTTGATTGGTCAACACGAAAGTTCACATTTGGTAGGAATATTGTTGTACAATTTTCATGTGAAGAGTTTTCAGTCACAATGGATTTAATTCTAGAGGTTTACATGTAGTTGATAACATCCTATCAACATCTGAATTACTTACAAGTTTGTTCAATGGAAAGGTAAGTAACATCAAACGCAAAATCATTATTGAACATATGAAGAGTGTTTTGAAAGAAGAAAATAGTGAAGGAAACATTCAAAAATTTGTTTCTTTGTTTATTTTGTTGTGTTTATTTCCAACTAGAAATTGTTCGGTTCCTCCATTTTTGCTTTGGCATATTGACAATTTAGATTCCATTGAAGAGTATGCTTGGGGTAGAGCTGTATATGATTTTTTAGTGAAGTCAATGACAGACTTCAAATCTCGAGAAAGAGTCTGCTTGGATGATTGTATAGTTAGACTAATGGTATATGCTTTATTTTTTTTCTAATATTTTATAAATTCATAATTTAAATTTCACAATTAGGCATTTTAAAAATTAATATTGCATGGATAGATTTATGAAAGAATTCTCTCTCTAGCAGGCCATATGATGTACCTATTGTTCCCCGATTCATGAGGTGGATCGAGACAAAATCTATTGGGGATGGTGAAAGAAGTTTGAAGTTACCGGAACAAATTAAGCAATGTGATATTATTGAATTCACAGTCAGAAAAGTAGATGAGTCATTGATTAGAACACTGCAACTTGCACAAGAGATAATATTTATATTTTATTTAATTTACAATGTAATGTTTTAATATGCATATTTTTATAGGATATTTACGAGGAATGCATGAGACTAAGAAATGAAGTAATAGAAAATAAGGCATTGATTGAGAAGCTTTGCACGCTACTACATGGATTCGATGAGATATGTTACTGTTGTAGTGAATCGAATAAGGGAAGCGAGGATGAGTGAGTTGAAAAGGTTGTGCCCGGTGATTCAAAGAAAATAGCTATTGATGAAATGAAAGTTGTTGCGCATGAAAATAAAAAGAAAATGACTATTGATGATGTGAAAGTTGTTGAGGATGGTGACTATGAAGAAGTGCATGAAGATAAAGAGAAATTAAATAGAGAATGGGATGATGTCGAAGCTCATAATAAAGAGGACACAATTGAAAGGGCTGAGAAAAATAAGTGCGTGGAGAATTTGATTGGAGAAAACTTTGATAATATATGCAACTTAGAACACTTGATATCATCCATTGCCCAAGATGTGCGTGGTCGAAATGATAGAAAAAGAAAAAAACGTAGTCTATTTATGACTCCACCTACCTCTCCTCCGCCAAATCAAATAAGAAAAAACAAGAATAAAGCAATAGTTGACCACAAGAATGATAGTGATTATTCTCCTAAGGAGTATGATAAGTATCACAAGAATCTTAACTTCAAATAGAGAGAAGCCATTTCTGAAAATGGACGTGAAATTATTGATAATTTTCTTTGCAATGCAAAATTTAGGCAGGTAATATTGTTTTTTTTTTTGTGTATTCTTAATGATATTTTCAAATACATTTATTGTTGTTTTTATTTCGTAGGGTCACTGTTTGGCATTCTGAAGATCAACATGTAGTTGGAACATCTATTATTGATGTTTTGTTCAACCGTTCTACACGTGGTGAGATTATTGATGGATTTAACGAGATTATTTGTAGGAAAGCACACAAACGCCTTCATAATCTGAATCATAGTGTAGGATATGTTTCATCTTTTTTTTACGGTAAGGTCTATTTTATTATTTATTATTATTATTATATAAAATATCTATTAATAACGCCTATTGTGTTTCAGAAAAGCCTTATGAGTGAGTTGCGTACCAAGGGATTTAAAACTGGTTATGTACCACTAAATAAATTTGATGACTATCTTGGTTATTTGTGAGATCCTGTAAAAAATGGTTTCAATAGAATAGCATGAGCAATGTGTCGTGGTTGTCGGTATATCCTTATTTCAGTCTTAATTGGCTTCCATTGGCACCTTCTTGTTATTGATTCTAAGGAAAAATGTATTACTCACCGCAACTTTATACCTTCTCCAAAATCCAGATGCGAACACTCTAGTAAACTTTTATTTTAATGCGAGTACAATTTCACTTTAAATATACAACTTGTAGAACTAATATATGTTGTTTTATTTATGTAATGCAGGGAAAGTTTCTTCTTCATTTTCTTCAACTTAAGGTCCATGGTTGTAATTGGAAGTCAAGGAATCACGGCAAGCCACGTACCCAATTTTGTCGAAAACAAGATCCAAAAAAGCTTGATTGTGGTATGTTCGTGTGTTTCTGGTCTGAATGTTACATCCATGATACATCTACTTGGTGGGACCATGAGAAGATAGTGAATATTGAACACTATCGAGCTATTGTTGTTGCTTCTTTGTTAAGTGATGCTCGAATTGAATGAAAAGAAATTCTTGTTGATGGACAAAACGGAACTGGTTTGTGCGTTTCTAATTTTAAGTTTATTCTTTGATGTGGTGGGTACTTTTAGAAAATATATTTTTTAGGACAATGACTTGTACCTTTTTATTTTATTTTTAATACTTTAATTTAGAATAACCAGTACTTCAACAAGGTGTGTCGTTTGTATTTTATTTGGCAAGTGTTCATACTTTTCTCATTTATTTTTAATACTTTATTTTTGACCAACGAATACTTCAACAAGGTGTCTCGTTTGTACTTTATTTGGCAAGTGTTTATACTTTTTTCATTTATTTCTAATACTTTATTTTAGACCAACCAATACTTCTGCAAGATGTTTAAGATACTTTTTTTTTCCTTAAACAAACTTTTAGTCGCTTGAAGCTAAAAATTTTTATAGATATTTTACTTTTTTTTAAGAGTTGCTGCTATTTTTATTTTACAAATTATTACTATTATAAGTATATCTATTCGAACAATTTATTGTCGAGCGATGGTTTTTAAATTAACACTGCACAATGTTTTGCTTCAAATATGTTTATGTCCACTGGATAGTAATCTTCTACTAATGTGACCTAGACATACCTCAATTCATGAATTGAATTTTGTAAGTTTACATCGACAATAAGCACGAATAAAATTATATAAGTTGAGTTGAAAAGATATCCTATCGCAATACTGAAATCATGTCGAAAGAGGTTGTGGTGTCATTTTTACTTTTTTAAATAGTATAATTAAAATTATAAAATTTAAAATTTAAAATATGATTAAAGTATATAATTATGCTTAAAAAAAATGACAAATTATGTGAGATTGACGAAAATAAAAAATAAGGACGAAGGGAGTAATAAACAATAATAGTGAGCAATTGAAGTTCTATTTAAAGCCCAAGTTGAGCCCCTTTAATATAAAATGGTGGTGAGCTGAATTGAACTGAAGTAAGTTTAACCCATTTCTTATTATTATTATTATTATTATTATTATTATTATTACCTTCATATGAAAATATCAAAAATTCAAAAACAGTTTAAATATGTACAAATAAATATCCCAAACTTCGATTATGAGCTGTATAATTTAGAGTACAAATTTCATATAAAATTTAAAAAGTTAAAATGCTGTTTACTTATATTTTTAATTTTCCTTTTACATTACATAATCTAAAATAAAATAAAATAAAATAAACTTTTTCTATATAAAAATATTTAAGTTTTGTTTGGTTGGTTGGTGTTTGAATTTTAATTTCAATATTATTTTGATTTGATATATTTTATAAAGAAAATAAAATACTCTCTCAGTCCCATGTAATATGGGTGTATTATTGTAAACACGAAAATTTAGATAAAATATAATTAGTAAGTAACTAAAAAGTGTATTAGTAAAATTAATTATAGATTAAGATTAAGACAAGTAAATAGTTTAATTAAAATTAAGAAAATTATAAAATTTAAATTTTAAAATTTAAAATACGACTAAAGTGCATAATTATATTTCCAAAAATAAAAAGGACAAATTATGGGACGAAAATAGAAAATATAAACAAATTATGAGGGAAAAATGGAGTATATAGTTAAAATGATACTCTTTTATGTCATAATCATAGGCACTGATTTAGTTTTACACACAAATATAGATTAATAGTATCCAAAGAATAATTTTAAAAAGAAAAAAGAAAAAAATATAATATACTTTTTAATAATAGTATATCTTTGATAAATATCAAAATAATTTTACTTTTTATTTAGATAGACATAAATTACAAAATAAATAGATTTGACTAAAGAATATTTATTTAAAAATAATAAATTTGTTTGTCTAACCTATTTTTTATTAGACACAATTGTCGAAAATAATAATATTCCCTCTATTCACTTGATATGTATTTACGTTCTGCACAAAATTTAATAAATATTATATTTTAATAAATGTTAGCAATAATTTTGTATATAAAACTCTTTTACATTATTGTAAAAATATTGATGAAAATAAATATAAAAGTAAAAGATATTTATAACATGTAAAGTTCATACTTATATTACAATCCAAAATATTATTTTTAATTTTTTTTTTTTAAAAAAAACATACCTTTTTTTTTATCCAAACCTCAGGGTTTTTACTATTTGATTCTCCTATAAAAAAATATTACCTCATCCACAGTTAATCTATCCATTTATTTTTTAATATTAATATTTAAATATTAATTATTATATTAAAACATAATACAAATTAAAAAAAACAACAATAATACATATCTTATAATACTAATGTAATAATATTTATATAAAAAAAAATTATACAATATAATAATATTTTTAATATTAAAAAGATATTTTTAATATTAAAATCAATGACCTCAAATACAAATGGATAGATTGGCTGAACGGTAGTATATATTTTTTTATCTCATAAAACATCTCATCAAACATTATTTTAATACCAAATTCAAACCTTTTCCCAAACCAAAAGCATTGAATATAATTTTATAATAAAAAAGACACACAAACCAAGGAGCAGAGAAATGCAACCTAGCTAGTTATTCACTATAGTTTCTGATTTCTTCAAAGGCTTTCACAAAAAATCAGTGCTATACACACACACACATATATATGTATGTTTGTGTGAATCCTGACTCATTCTTCTGCTATTAGAGTCACATGTAAACCACGAAAGCTCAATCTTACCAGAATTAACAGGCAATATATTTTGTCATCTTCATCAACAAAAAAAGAAAAATGAATTATGTCCAAACACAAACATATATATATATATATACATGCATATATTTGTACATATCATACCTGTAATCCGCAGAACGAATCGATCGACAAGAGTGTTCGTAGAGCGCTGAGGGGAATGAAGCCTGGTCCGACATCATTCCATAGAATGTTATGTTTCTACTCTAAGCCCTGCATTCAAGAAAAGGTCTCGAACCAGACAACATTCCCCTCAACATCTCATCACATAGAAAAAGAGAGATCAGCATACAAAAACAATCGAAACTCACATATATATAAATATATATATATATGTGTGTATGTATGTATACATGTTCGACTCGAATACACACAACACATATGGCCATGCATTCATTTTCCCATGGGGTCTTCCACTTTATATACATATCGTGATGACGGTGGAGCTAAAGCAAAGATGTATGTAGAGCAGAGCATCCGCCTATCTTTTTGACAAGTAGCTATACTTTCTACGCTTTAATACCCGAACCGGTTATGCCCTTTCACACCCAAGGAATTCACAAGTCTACTAATAATGTCGTTAATTCCTAAACATATATGCATGCAATTCAACACACAGTGCTAATTTCCTAAGGCATGTTTTCTCAGGCTATGTATATAAATATAAATACATACACACACGTGCATGTGTGTATGTGTGTGTGTCGAAAATAATAATTATAATTAAAGATGGGACCTGTAAGAGTTTTGTACCTTTTGGCTTTCTGCAACAGGGAAAATCAAAAGAAGGTGTAACCACCTTTAATCAGTGAAGCCATTGTTTCTGATTCCAAACTTGAACATAAAGGAACAATTAAAGTTATTCCCTTTACGGGCATCGAAGATTATGCAGAAACGAAGAAACAACAATTTACTCGTATATTGCATATAAAACTGATGAAAGACCCGGAAATGAAATAACATTAACAGTAAAAAAGAGTTTCTGCACAATGTAAATCTCACATATGCCTATAAATCACTTTTTACTTTTCTACTACAGATTTACTTCTCTCTCAGGGAATTTATTCTCAGAAAGTCATCCTTTACAGGTTACAGTCACAAGCAATGCTTTACGCGGTTTTGTGGCATCTTTTTTTCTTTTGATTTTTACATTCTTTTCATGATAACACTAGCCATAATGACGAGAACCAAAGGTTCTTGCTCCCTGTGAAAAGCCACACCTTTATTTTATGGGACCTAATGCCGGTAACTTTATGTCCTTAACCAAATCATGGAAACAGAAGCCCCCAACATGTATTCTTTCTGGGACATACCAACCTTTATCTACAATCATGGCTACCCGGGACTCGACTCTATCACACAAAACCTTACTTTTGAATATCTACCCATGGATTCAGACAAGACAGCATAGAAGACTAACACATGTAAGAAAGCAAGCAACCTTCCAAGTTGGGAAGTCAATTCCTTCTGCAGATAATCAAAGTTAACAGCTTTGACTAATTATGCAAGAAAAGATCATATTGCATGTTTGAAATCATACGGAGCACGACAAGAAATACAATTTACACCCGCATCATATATATATATAGGTTTTGGAAATGTATCTGATCTACAGAAGCTTACTTCACACTTTAATTTAAAACAAACCACTGAAAGATTGGTGATTGCAATCAAGCAGAACAGTAGCGTGGCCCAAAACAGATAGATCATTTATGCCAAATAACTTAAAACTCTTCCCGGAGTCGATTAGATAACTTACAACAGCTCATCAAGAATGAACAGCAATATCCATGCACCTCTCTCCAATCAACTTAGATGTAAAAGCCTTATCCATCTCCTTATTTTGGTGGGACTGTTCTCGACTTTTGTAGGAAGCTGTACCATTGGTAATATCAGTCCCTGCTTTCCTGTTTGCGGAAGCAATAGATGAACCGTCCCTGCAAATGGGATAACTGTGGCGAGTTTCTTGGGCTCCCCTGTCAAAGGTTTTTGCATCACTGCAGCTCTTTCTTCGGCCCAACTTTGGTGATTTTGCACGAGTTGGAGGTGGCTGGTATTTACCAGGAAAAAATTAAATCAAATTAAAATTATGCGATTGATAGTTTGATTTATTTTGGTTCTTAACCATAACTTGCAAGTACTATCTTATAATTTTTGCAGAAAAACTGCATGCAGCAGCACCTTTTTCAATTCAACCTTCGGTGGCGGCCCCTCAAGGTAAAAGCTCGGCATTGGGCTGGCCTTAAATGTCAAGCTCTTCCTTAGTTGCTTGATTGCTGCTTCAGACTCTTCCTATAAAGAAGCCATAAAAGTACAAAGATGCGTATCATGCAAGAGCAGATAAATATTTGGTGTGCTTCTAGCTTCGAATCAGCTGGTTGTGATACATTGGAATTCAAATTTAAAAGCTGATAATCTACAGAAGAGTTTGAATTACCTTAGTTCTTGCCTCATATTGAGTTTTCTCTGCCTCCAATGCTTGATGCTTCTCCTCTAACTTTGAGTAGTACTGAAATAGGCAAATCTTCACTCAACAAACAAATAGTAGCAGAATGTTGGAGTGCATGTTCATATGCAGACAAATTGTTTATGCATATCAATTTTTTGATAGCGAAACACATCATTTGCTACTACCTCCTTCCTTCTTGCAGCCCGTTCACTGCTCTTAAACACTGGAGCTGCTGCAATAGTTGTCTTAACCTTTCTCGCTGGCGTAACAGTTCTTGGCATAATTAAGGTAAATCAGAAACGGGGTGACAGCATCAAAAGAGATAATGATACAGATGAGATAATATTTTGGACTAAGATGATAGGATACGATGAGGCCACTGAGCAATTATCTTCATCAGGGCGCTTCTTGTTATCTGGTTGTAATGGCTTCCTCGGTACAACAGGTGTGACAGTCTGCACACAAATGAAATACAGTATCAGTAGTTGGTCTTTTGTTTATCCATATGCTCACTTCTCAACAACCTTGATTCAGATAATTCATCAGTCAAGACATCATTGATGCTTTCAGATTAAGCATAAAGTAAGAGATCAAATAGGCATAATCTAGGAAGTATCAAGATTCCATCAAATACTAAGTATATAGCAGCACCACATTTAGGAATAACCTGATGTTTTTCTCTTAACAAGTCAAGATTTTAGTTGAGAAGATAGTTTGGTATGCAGATTTACCATGCACTGAGAATTGATAATTACTTGCTGGTTGCAAAATATCGTAAAGAAAATTTTCCAATCAACCATGAGAAAATTCTTATATCATAATAAGGACTGGACTAGAAAATGGGCATAAAGAATATTACTGGATTCTGCTTCCCAGCTGTTGGATTTTGCGAAACACGAACTTGGGATGCTTTCTCTCCAAGGGAAGAACTGTTAAGCTCAGCTCCATGAGGGCGGATACCATATAATGCACGTTTTGCTGTTGCCAGAGCAAATGGTTGCGGAACTGTACATTTTGTTTTACAGTTACCAGTAGAGAGTCTAGCAACCTTCTTGTCACAAGCTTTTGTTGCCTTGGAATCATCAATTACTGTTTGATCTTCAGATGCAGCATCCTCCTTCTTCATATTAATTTCACTATTGAAGCCAGCTGAGTTCAGCTCATCTGCCTGACTTTGACAATGTTTTGTAACCTCAGATGATTTGTCAATATTGCATTCCTTTACTTCACAGTCCTGTACTTCAGTATTATCATCCAACATATGAACAGGCAATGAATCTAAATTAATGAGCTCAGGTAGTGGTGCCACATCCTGTGTGTAACCGGAATCATCAATGATACCATTGGAGTATATAATGACACCATCAGGCTCCTTGTCAACATGAATGTCACTGCCTTCCATTCCCAAATTCCTGAGACATCAGTAAAACCAGTATTATCTAGTCTGTCAACATGAATGAAGAATTATAGCATGAAGCAGCCATATTTTGGAACCGAATCACAACACAATGCAACTATACATACATTATGCACCATTATGGACTTCAGGAATAAAGGCAGCCATGATAAATAAGAAAAAGCACATCAAACAACAAGATCGATTCCAATGTCATCTGTTTACATTGAAAATCAGTCAAAAAGACATCCTCAGAAAATTGAGGATGTGACTCAACCATTAGTCCCAAATAATCAAGCACAAAAATTCCAACATTTTCCACCACAAATGGGTTCATTCAAACCAAAATAAGATTACATAAATAATAAATTAAACATCCAACTAAACCACCATATTTAAGAACTTGATCACAGGAAGAAGGTGCGTATCAACCAAATACATACAATTTCATTTTCATACCAGTCTAAGTTATTTTATTCCGAAAAATAACTCTCCAGAAGAGTTCAACTTCCGATGAACAAGGTTAAGGCATGATTTAGCACTAAAACACCAACCACTGTGACAATTCAGAATCCAAAAAAACTAAAAAATAAATAAAACATATACTAACCAAATATCATTATCATATCACTACAGTAAATCATTCCTCAGCTCCAAAATCAGTAATCTTAGTTAAATTCCCAAGAAAAAGCATAATGTACTCCTTTAAACATTCCCGATGCAATTAGATCTGCTCGCATCAGTTAAAAATTTGGCAACACCGAAGCAAATATGATCAAGCTGCAACTCCAAAAAGCGTAAACACACACACACATACAGGTATACGGAGGAAAAGCGTAAAATGCGGAACAATCGCTTACTGAAAAACTACAAAATCCTTCTTATCCTTGAGCTGAATTGATTGGGTGGGTGGATTTTGTGCGCGGAGAGATTCCTTTGAGCTCCGAGAAGGCGCACTGTGTGTCGACAACACTGTGCTTTGTTTGTCCTGTGTTGCAGAAGATAGTTTATAGAGTGGTTGGATGGGTGGGGCGGAGGAAACTAACGGCGTTAGTTGACGGCGGTTGGGAATTTGAAATGGAGTGGAGTGGAATTACATGATTAAGTTAGACATAAAGCGGGGGGTCGTGAAATTACATCTTTGCCCTGGAGAGTGGAGGTAAAAATATTTGAATTTTAAATGGTACAATCCCTCTTGTTTTTTATATTATAGTACTATGATTTGTATTACTTACTCAATTTTTTAACAAATTATTTATTTTTTTATTTTGATTTATTAGGCGAATCATGTGTGGCAGGTGACTGAAGCGTCGGATTTGAACCCATAATTTCATTCCTAGACCACCAGGCCATCTCTTACATGTCGTGCGTCGGATTTGAACCCATAATTTCATTCCTAGACCACCAGACCATCTCTTACAGGTCGTGTTTGTGTCAGGTTAAGCCACGAGGATAACAAAAAAACAGTCGATCCGAACCCGACCCGAACTTGAAATTTAACTTGAAACCCTAAACTCGAACACGACATGAATTCTTTTAAGTTGACCTGATTTGGTTTCAGGTCACTCGAAATCTGAACAAATCCAATACGAACCCGACATGAAACAAACCCGAAATTTTTTTTAAAAAAAGTTAACGTAAAAAAATTTAAAATAATATAAATATTATAAATTAAAATAATAATAAATAATTTCAGGTTAATCTGAACTACAAAACCCAAAATCTGATCTGATTTTTATATTTCGGATTATCAAGTCAATCCGAACATGATACCAATTTTTTTCGTTTCGGATTCGGGTCGACCCGATTTTTTGCAAACCCGAACCTGAAAAGTTTCATGTCAAACATGTTCGGTTTTTCGAGTCAGATTTAATTTTGACACCTCTAATTCATATTCCATATCAATATAATATAATATTAATATACCTTAAACTTCATACAAAAATCAAACAGATATATACTTAAAGGGACCAATGGAGTATTATATTTATATTTTTTCTAAATCATAACTCTATTTTTTTTTACGTAAATTTAATCATAACTTCTTCTTTTTTTTTTTTCTTTTTTTTTTCTTTTTTTTAAGGGTCCTTCTAACTCATCTCCAATTACACCTATGTCTTTGTTAAATAAAATTTGTTTGTATTCTATTTTATATATAATTTTTTTTCATAATCTTTTAAATTTATGAATAGCACCAAATATTTTATTGTTTTTATATATTTAATTTATTAAAATATCTTAAATATTATTCAATAAATTAAATTTATAAATTTTTATTATTTGATCATACAAAATAACAAATATTTTTTTAGTTAAATAAATTGAAGTTTTAATATTATTAAATAATATTTATGCAAAATATAAATAAAAAATACGAGTATATAATATCATTTGATTAAAAATAATATATACAATATAAAATTAAAATATAAATATACAAAATGATTTTTTTTAAATAAATAATAACATAAAATTCAAAAAAATAAAATAAAAAAGTAAAAATATAATTTTAAATAAATTTTAAAATAAATAAAATAAAAATCGTCATCTCATAAGAGAGAATGTCCTCTTTTATGAAAAGAATTCAGTCTCACCGTCTCATTTGAGAGAGTAATGGTTGCAAAAATGAATGGTGAATTGCAGTAATCTATCCTACAAAAAGTTAAAATTGCTTATAACTCTCGTCCATGTGGTTTCAAAATTCAGCGTAAAATCTCCCTATACTTTAAAAATTGCATGGTACTCCATTATACTTTAAAAAACGTTGCATAAAACCCCACCACCATGAAACTTTCCTCGTGTGATAAGAAGATGATTTCCTATCTATATGTTTTGCATGGCAGGGGGATTTTATGCAATATTTTCATGCAATTTTTTAAAGTAAAATGGGGATTTATGCTGAGTTTCGAAACCACAAAATGATTTCATGCAACATTTTTTAAAGTATAAGGGGACGTCACACAATTTTTAAAGTAGATGGGGAATTTACGCTGAGTTTCGAAACCGCAAGGAAGTTATGGGTAATTTTGCCCTACAAAAATAATAAAATTGCTAGTCGAACAATTTGTTTACTAACACAAGCCTTTTAGTACATAATTAGGGATGGCATACCGTACCGTACCGAAAATACCGGTCGATACCGATACCATACCGAACTTTTCAGTATGACTAAAATACATACCGGTACTGTACCGAAAGTTATAATATACCGAATTTCGGTATACTGAAATTTTCGGTACGGTACCGGTATATACCGTTTATACCGAAAATTTTAATTTCGATATGATACCGGTATATACCGTTTATACCGAAAATTTTGATTTCGATAGATACCGGTATATACCGATTATATCAAAAATATAATTTTAAATTTCAAAATAATTAAAAATAATAATAATAATAAATATCACTCTTCTCCACCACAAAAATTTTATGAAAAAACCAATAAATTTTCAATAGTTTACATATTTTTTTGTTATAATTTTAAAAAATATTATTTATATTAATAATTAAATTATTTAATAAAAATAATATTGGTACGGTATCATACCGAAATACCAAACTTTCCGAAAATTTATACCGATACCGTACTAAAAACTTCGGTACGATATCCATACCGTACGAAAATTTCGGTATTTTCGACACGATATGGTACGATAAATCGGTATTTCGGTATGTTCGATAAATTTATCCATCCTTATACATAATATTTCATCCGTCTTATTTCAATTGTCTCAATTTCTTTTATTTGTGTCCGTCCCACTTCAATTGACACGTTTCTATTTTTTTTTAAAAAAATTTTACTATATCAAAATATATTTGACAAATATAAATTAATTTAATTAATTTTATAATATATAACATCACATGTGACCACTCAAAACTCTTTTATTTTTATCTCCCTCTCCTAAGTAAACAAATATTTTTATCTACGTTTATAACTCTTTTTTTATATATATAGAATTAAGTTATCTTAATTATAAATAAATAAATAAAATGATATTTATATTACATATATAATATTGATATAGAATATTTAGAATATTTAAATACATATTTCAAATTCATTTAAATTATAGTATACTATATTAATTTTTATTTAAAATTACTAACAATGTTACTTATATAAAAATATTTATAATAATGGTTCTATTTTTAGATAGATAGGTTTTTTTAGGTTTGTTGTGAGAAACTGTATTAAAAATATAAAATATATTATTTTAAGTTGAATATTTGATTTTTTAACTTTTTTTTAATATGTAAGTTTCTTGACCTTTTTTTTTTTAAAATAACTTTTTTGTAGATTTATTATTATTTTTTAAAAATTACAATTGAAACTGTGTTAGAACAGAGCCATAGCAAATAGATTTTTAGTATAAAAATATATGAAAAAAACGTTTCATAAAACTTTTAAATGACTAATTATTCATGTTATCTAAAATATATAATAATTTATTTATAAAATATTACATTCAATTATTATTCTAAAAAATATATATATGTGTTTGGTTGTGATTTTATTTTGAAATTCTATTATTAACTCCACGAGCTACTCAATAAAAAATATATTATTTTATTTTACAAAAATTTATATCAAAATATTATTTAATAAAAATTTAAATCAACATCAAATTAAATAACATAAACAAATACACTCCAATTATATTTAGAAGATGTTACCTATAAATTATTTGAATTATTTTAAAATAATATCTTGATTTGATATTTAGTGAATGTTCCAACATCAAATTTAGTGAATGTTCCAACTCATTTTCAGTAAAAATAATTATATTTAAATATCAAAATAATTTTAATTTTTATAAAAAATATTTATTTCATTTATATTTGTTAAGAAGGAAATAGGACAAATTATTGTGACAAAATTATTGCATAAGGGAGGATGTGGTGTGGGGCCCATAAGCCTCCTCATATATATCTTTGATTATTATTGATTAACCCTTTTGATAAAGTCCTTATACCTTCTTTAATTAGTTCCCCACCTTTTATTTTTATTTTTATTTTATTTTATTTTATTTTATTTTTATTTTAATAACCCACCAATTAATCAATCTTAATTACCATTACAAGCAAAATAATACTCTCTCAATCTCAATACAATAGTTTTGTTTACAACTTTTTGTCCGTTCCAAAACAGTAGTTTTTTTTTTATAAATAATCATATCACCGTAAAACTATCCCTATTTTTTTCATTTGTATTACACAATTGCTACTATTTTTTACACTAATACACTCTCGTAAGGGAAAAAAAAACCTTTTATTCATATTTTTTACCAACTACCAATATAATATCAATATTTTTCTTAAATCCCGGAATGAGCATGATATGTTTGCTTGGTTGTCTCTGTGTGTTTGTTTGTTATTATTATTATTATTTTGTTATATAACGTATTACTATGTATTTATAGGTAATTTTTTATTTTATTTTATATATATATAATTATAATAATCTACATTAATTTTTTTTATTTAATATAGTCAATATAATTTGTATTTTTATTTAGAGTATTATGTCAAATTAAATTATTATTTATTTAACACCAAATAAATATTCCAATTTAAATATATAGTTTTAATTAATTTTTAAAATTGATCATTTATTTAAATTTTAGCGGATATTGCATGGTGTTTATTTTGTTTTTTTTACAGGTGCATTTTTATAGTAAGTTTGAAAATTGATGTTGATAATATAAAAAAAATAATTACATTATTGTTGATGAATAAATATATATTACATATTATGTATAATTATGTATATATTTTTTTAATAATATATGTTGAGATTGGTGTCCGTACAAATAGTTGAGAAATATTGGAGATGTGTTTTTTTTTTTTTTGTTTAAAAACACATTTTCTCGAAATTTATATATTTCTTTAAAAAAAAATTATAATATATTACATACCTCCATTAATTTTATATTATTTACACAATTTTTTATAATTTATCTAAAAAAAATCATTTCAAACTATTTCATCAAACAAATAAACCCTCACGTACCAAAAAAAATAAAAATAAAAATAAAAAATAAAAAATTTGTCACTTCCTTAATGATTAATTTATAACGTTACAATCAA